TTTATTTTATTTAATACCGACATCAAGAGGTCGGTTTTTATTGTAATTCATTAAAAATTCCGACCTCAGGAGGTTGGAATTTTTTCTCAATTATGTGTAAAATTATAATACCAACTTCCGAATGTCAGTAAAATTAAATAGTATGTAATTAAAATACCGACCTCATGAGGTCAGTATTTTTATTTCATCTAATTACTATTAATTAAAGCGACATCCGGAGGTCGGTAGTTTTATTTCATCTAATTACTTTTAAAAGCGACATCCGGAGGTCGGTTTGTTTAAAATATTCAAACTAAATTTTCATTTTACACCTAGAATAATCCATATTTAGAATATGAAATTATGTTGATATGAAAACCGACAACAATGCAAAATAAAAGCGGAAAAACCAAATTCCGACCTCAGGAGGTCAGAATTTTCCCCAGAAAATGAATTACAATAAAAACCGACTTCTTGATGTAGGTATTATTTTCTATTTTGATTTTAATTTTATTTAAATCGTCTTCCGGAGGACGATTTTGTGTAAAATAAAAAACAAAAAAATTATAATACCGACTTCCGGAAGTCGGTAAAATTAAATAGTATGTAATAAATTAATATTTTCAATTAACTTTAAATAAATCGTCCTCCGAATGACGGTTTTATACAAGTTAAAAAATAATTTAATATAAAATACCAACCTCCCGATGTCAATATTATTTAATTAAAATTTAATGTGATACCGACCTCAGGACGTCGGTATTTTTTATTAAATCTAATTACTTTTAATGAAAGCGACATCCGGTGGTCGGTTTGTTTAAAATATTCCTATTAATAATCATAATTTTGCTATTGTGCAAAATACTAAAATTTCATTTTACACCTACAATTAATTGTTCAAAAAGTGTAACAATTTTGTATACTTTTATAAATAAAAAGTTAGAATTCGTGGAATAAATAAAAAATATCTATAATCCATATTTAGAGTATGAAATTACGTTGATATGAATTAGGAGATAATTATATATACTTGTATTTCTAGAGTAATGTACAAATTCTATCAGTCCGTCGTCTAATCATGAACTTAATATCTCATGTCATGATGTAGAGGTGAAGAGCTAACATATAATCCATTCGAGTATGAAATGCGAGATAGTATTATTATATACGTTCGATCTAATTAAAGAGATGTTAAGTGTAGTGATCACCTCCTAATTATGATGACATGTAAACGATACTTTATCGGAGTATGAAATACGTTGATTAACTATATACTCCTCGAGTAGTTTAACAAATCAAGTCTTATATACTAGTGGTTTAGATATGAAATACATTATCAATTAAAGAAATACCGATGATCAATTCAAGGAGATTTATATATTAAATTTGATATTGATAAACTTTTGTTGATCAATAAAATTAAATTTATATAATTAGGAGTCACTACAAGAAAAGAGTAAAATTGTGACGGAATATTTAGAACGGAGAAGTCTGTCACAAATTGTCACAGAATTTTGACTGATTTGTGACAAATTAATCTTATATAAATAAAAAAATTTAAAAGAATTTTTTTACCTACTAAAATTCTGATAGTGACGGATTAGTGACAAATTTGTAACAAATATTTAATATAAGTTTTGTGACAGAACATTTCCGTCACAAAATGATAGCAAATAAAACTAAATGAATATATGTCGTCACAAAATCATCACAAAAATTATGACGGATTTACATTCCGTCTCAATTTAATAAAAAGACAACAAATTATAAAATCTTTAACTTAATGAACCATTTTTTCCGCAAAAAATAATGAACCATTTTTTCCGCGAAAATTTTAAAAAATATTAGATCACCTTTTAACTTTCCCCCAAAATTTTCAGCACTTTTAGTTTTCCCACCTTTAACTCCTTTATTCCATTAGAAAATTAGGGTTCAAGAGAGAAGTGAGAGAACTACAATGGGTGTTCTTCCTTTCTTCTACCTCTCACTCTTTCAACACTATAGTTGTGATTTTGAACTCATCTAAACTTTGATTCCGTTGCTATATTGCTCGTAGGTATGAATCTTTTCTTTTCATTTTATCTACAATGAACAATATTTTGATTCTTTATACTCTTGCTGAGATTCGTTCCTATTTTTCTTGAATCGATGTTATAAAGTGAATAATTTTTAGTTTTTGATATTGGGTCCATTATACTCTTCACTATTATATAGCTCTTTTTTATGGGTATTCATCGAATTATTAAATTGGATCCTTTACCTAACTAATTTGGGTGTAAGTTTTAATTTTTTTTTATGTGTGTGTATTCATATGGATTACTGCAGATTTACACATACTACAAGCTTTAGTGGAGGCATGTTGCCAGTAGATTTTGTCATTGATGTGCTAAAATTCACAACTTTTTTGATGATTGGTATCTTCTCTATAGTGTTGTTATTCTTTCAATTTTTTTATATTTTTTATGTTTTTCTTGGACTAGTAAACAATTTGGAGTTGTCATTGCTGATCTAAAGTTCATATGTATGGTTGGTCTGAGCTTCAATTTTGATGAATTGCATTCTCTTGTTGCATTTATTAGGTCCTGTTAGATAACAAAAAAAAAAATTGAAATTTTTTTTTGGTTATAGATTAGAACGATTTGGTTGGTTTTGAAGGTGAATGTTTCAAATTTGAAGAACTGAAATTTTTTCACTCACTTACAAAACTTCAACTTCTTTTTTAAAGTCCAATGCATGTTCAAACACAATTTCAATTTTCAATACAATTTTTCAACTTCATGAATACTAATTTTTTGTTTTCATATGTCAATCTGTTAATGACTAAATACCTATTTATTTGCTTGTTCCTAAAGAACAATATAATTATGTATATTCTAAAGAGAAAAAAGAATCTTCATCAACTCGTGCTTTTAATTTATTAGAAAATACTCTCTTTTACATCAATTCTCATCTCATTCTCTTTTGTTCTATAAACTTTTTCAGGTAGTTCGTTTATGTCCATTAGTTTCTGGAAGATTTCTACATTGGTGTTTCTATCATTGCTTAAGTTAGGTAAGAGGATAATTTACATCTTAAAGCATTTATTTTATGTGACCAAGTAGGATACAAAACATATTATCACATTTGCTAAAGGTTAGTTTCTTCTTCGTAGTAATTAAATCACTAAAAAGATATTGGTGTCGTACGAGTAGAATGAAGCTTATAAATTGAATACATCTTTGGCATATCTGTTTTTATATGATCACCTTGACATGTAATATTATTTAAAATAAATTAGTACACTTTTCTA